AACAAATATGAACACAGACAGGTGTGCACAAATGCATTAAGCGTTCTTACTTGGAAATATTTCAGGTAGCTTTTCATCCTATGCTTTACTCTGGCCCTTTTGCTTACCTCTACCATAGCTATTTGTTCTATAAAATTGTATATGTTCAAAAATCTCTCTCCTTATAGGCAAAAATTATTTCCTTTACCGCTTTTACATCTATCATGGTGCTGGGCATAAAGTAATAATTCAAAGTAATAATTTGAATTAACTGACAAAAGGAAATATAAATGTTTACAAAATAGTGCTGTAATCCCAAAAAGGCTAGAAATCTGCTCATCTAAACAATGTCATTAAATTTTTTAGGCTTCTAGAAAATGTTTTACTAGCTTTGAAAATTTAGAAGGTACCATAAACTTTCCTTTCTTCCTGTCAACTTTAAGTGATTTCTTCTACACAGATATCAAACTATATCACATTTTATTTTTCATTAAGAAAATATTTACTGAACACCTACTTTGTGCTCAGTATGTTGCTTAGTGGAAAGGTTATGCTAACGAGTTCAGACATAATACCCCCAAAGATCTAAAACATATAGCATTTGAAGCAACTGTGCATTTCTGATGTGATTCTTTTTTATTTTCAAATAAGAAAATACAGAGAACAGTAAATAATGTAACAAACAGTTGTATATCCACCTATGTTTATATGTCTGATTTTCCTATTAGACTGTTAGTTCTTTGAGGTCACTGATGCTTTGTCTTGCATCTTGTGTGCTTAACGCAGAAGTTGGCACATATGGGGCAATAAATGTTTGTTGAAAAAATGATTCTGCAAAAAATATGGCACAGCTTGAAGGTTGAGTTTTACTTAATATCATGTCCTTTTTCTTACATTTCCTTCAAAGCCTCTAAAATAATCATGGAACTAAACTCTTCTGTTACAATGTGACATTCCCAATTACCTTCTATGGATGCTCACTTTTTTATTTCACTCAAAAAATATTCTTTGACTGCTCTACTCAAACTGCTTCTTTGCACTTGGTTGTCTGGCTCTACAGGGTCTGTTGGTCCTTGTATTGTCTCATTATATTGCACTGAAGGGAAGTACTGCAGAAGGGAATGTGTGTTAAGGGCTCTCTGAGTCTAGAACAGGGGTGGGCAAACTTTTTGACTCGAGGGCCACAATGGGTTCTTAAACTGGACGGGAGGGCCGGAACAAAAGCATGGATGGAGTGTTTGTGTGAACTAATATAAATTCAAAGTAAACATCATTACATAAAAGGGTACGGTCTTTTTTTTTCAATAGTTTTATTCATTTCAAACGGGCTGGATCTGGCCCGCGGGCCGTAGTTTGCCCACGGCTGGTCTAGAATAACATGCTTTCCCCCATCAACAGAGATTTAACAAAGTTAAGGTTAAAGCAGAAGGAAGACAAGACCTTTTAAATTCACTTTTCTAGAACTAACTTCAGATCCTGCTAAAGAAATCATTTCACCTTCTTCAACACATTACCATTAGGAAGGAAGAAAAAAAGGAAGGGAAGGGAGGGAGGAAAACAAGACTGACACCACAAGTAGAAATTAGCTACATTTTCTACTGAATGGAAAACAATCTCCAAATTAACCTGGCATCACCAAGCAGGCAGGAGTTTAACACTGAGGCATGGACCTAAAAATGAACAAATGGCACTAATTTGCTAAACCTCAAGAAAAACCTAGTCATTAATTTTCTGTTTATGGTGAATTGTAATTGAATAGTAAAAAAATACTAACTAAAACAGTTAAAACCAAAACCAAACATCTGGATTTTCTGTAATGGTTGAGCTATAAAATAGGTAATGATTTTTAAAAGCGAAATGCCCAGGGTTTGAGAAGATATAAACGTGCACTATGCTTCTGAAAGTCAGTTTGGCAATGCATGTCAATAAACCTTGAAGTTTTGAAAAACCCTTTGACCTAACAATTCTAGGAATTTATCTACAAAGATTTTTATAACATTGTATTACTATTTGAAATAGCAAAGAATTGCAAATAATTTAAATGCTTATATATAGGAGATTTGTTAAAGGATGATAAATCCTTAAGGAGAGTACCTTACGAAGAGAGTAACATGCTTCATAAGAATTTACCATCCTTTAACTATAAAAGAAGAAAGCAGTTATCAAAATTTTTTTGGTTGCAGAACTTTTTATCCATGATATAAAATCCAGTTATAACCTAAATTTAATAGCAACAATCAAATGTGCTCTTTTTAAGTGAGGCTGGGGAACATGGAAGCCCTGCCCACTCATCCACCGGGGCTATTCCTAGGAACTTTAGGGCTTCAAGGAACACATTTTGAAAACCACTACTCTATCAGAACATTTGTTGTGAAAAGAAATCAAGATTTTAAATGACTCATATTTTGTAAAAAAAAATGTATACGTGTTTATATTTACATATTATCCAATGGAGAATGGTTTGAAAGATATACACAAAAATGCAACTAGTGCTTATCTTTGAGTGGTAGATAATTTGTATTTGCGTATTGCTTGTATGCTCTTTTCCCCATGGATTTTCTATAATTAGCATGTATTATTTTTGTAAAAAGAAAAAATAACATTACTTTTAAAGTTAAATTTTAAAGTTGGATTTTTTTCTGTGTAATACGTTTTCCATATCCCTTTATTTCAACTGGCATTTTAAAGCATTAACAAATCTTTAAGTATATGGTCAACTGGAGAAAGGTCTTTTTCATTTGACAATCAAGGAGATATTAAAACCCAGGTAAATGGATTCTGCACTCTTATTATAGATTTTCTTCCTTTTTATTTTATCGATTTTCTTTATGGTAGGCTGTAGGTCTCTCACTAAAAATACTTTATGCTGATTTCTGCATCTTTTCACATGCTGTCCAATTTCTGGGAAATGTTCATCCCCTATTCTTCAAATGGCTGAATCATACTGTCTTCAGATCTCAGGAAATATTTAAAGAGGTCTGTGACTGTACTGAGTATTCTCAATCATTCTACTGTTTCTCTCCTAGCATTTATACAATTTAAATTATATATTTGTTCACTTATTTATTACCTGTTTCACCAACAAAAACTGGAATTTCATGAAGGCAGAGACACCTAGTATTGTCAATATATTACACAAAACCTAGCCTAACACCTAGCAATTATCCATAAACATTTGTTGATGGACTGAATGATTGACTAAATGTTTGCTAAAATTTGAATCTAGGGACTCAAGTGGCTTAAAATCACTTTTCCCACACTCTTGCCTAGATGGATTGGCAAGATGCTGTTTTCAATACTGTCTAAATTTCTGATACTATATAATAAGGCCAAGTCACATTAATGGGGTACATTTTATAATGGCTATATCATCTGAACCACAACTCAAAAGAGGCACTAGGTCTGCCGAGATGTCTGCTGCAGGACTACTGATCCTCTCTGACATACCTTTTAGAGAATAAACATTCTATAACACAGAATGTATACTTGCCACTTCAACATTTTCTAAAGCTTCTTCTAGCCTCACTCAGGAGGGCTAATCTCAATTTACTGATATTTATTACATGCCATCCCATACATACTAGTATACTGACGTGCAGCCACTGAATTATAAACCCTTTTTATCAGGAATCTGAACAGTGTGAACTACTATTTTTGGCACAATTTAAATAACAGGGACTCTAACAATGGCAAACCAACAGCCTCAGAAGAGCTCTTGCAACTAAATGGAAAATTTAAAAACACCAAAACAAACAGTGTAAGAAAAATAACCATAGAAGGTACCAAATAAGCATAGAGACATAACATTTTAAATACTTCCAAATATTTGGTTTCGGAGCATGTGGGCTTTCCACACTTATTTCTGCCAAGTCCCAGGTAAAACTGACCATACTATGATCATCTAAAATAGCTGTTAGGACTGATCTTCAAATATTTGGTTTCAAAATATAGACCTATTTGCACTTTAAAACTCAGATGCCTGCACACTACCATTATAACACTGCACTGAGATAATACTTTCAAAGAATGTTGCTGGCAAAAAGATATCTTTATTCATGGTAAGAACTGCTTCAAATGGACACAGCAAAATGTTAACCTAAGTCCTGAAGTCAACTGTCAGAAAAGATCATTTGCTCTGGCACCAGAATGCTTTTTTTTCTTTTCTTTCTTCTTTTTTAAAGACAGAGGCTTAATTTCACCAGTTATTTAAGGTTAAGGAGAGAGGGTAAATGCGAACTGTTAAGATTCTAGAAGCAAGGAAAAAACGTTTATATCCGCTTCACTTGAAATTGTTGACTTCCTTAAACTAAGTTTCTTATTTAACATATTGTTCTTGTGGGTACTCAAATATAAACTATCAAATCTGCCTCACTTTGGGTTGCTGGACAGTCCAAACCACAGAAAAGGATCTTAGTCTAGAAATAAGTCAAGTGGTTTAAAATAACCGTTCCCATACTCTCGTGTAGTTATGCTTGCTTCCTAGGACTGTACCAGCATGGATATCTAGTTGTAGCTCTCCACTTCTGATTGTTATCTAACACTATAAAGTAACACTCTAGAAGACTGGGATGATACGTGATACAGCCTCTTTTACTCTTCTGAGCAGACATTAATTCTGATTGATCAATTTCAACTGGCTTGATTTGTCTTAACTTTTAAAACTGCAGCCAGTGAAAATGCCTATACCTTTTTAAACATTATTTTGTTTTCCTTAAAATCTTATAATTTAAACCTTGTTCCTGAAAGAGGCACTCTTAAAAAAAAAGAGACACATGATAGTACAACTCAGAAAAGGAACTATATTTGGCTTCTTAAAAACAGTGGTCTATCTTCACCCTTATTCTCCTGATAAGTGGAAAGAGTAAGACTTATAATGGCTAAGAAATTAATCCTGAGTCATACAACTGGGGAACTCAAAATTTTTTCCATTTCCCAACTTAGCATTCTTCCCTTTAAGGCAGCTCTAAGGGTGTCCCAGACGCATTAAATGCCACAGTAAATAAAACCCTTCTTAACCTTACCTCTTTATGCACCTTCCAACTGTCTACCGTCACATTGAAGAGAGCTTTGAGGGCCTCAATGGCACAGTCTGTCTCCTGAGGTGAGAGAGGAGGTCCATTATGGTCTATGGCCGATTCATACTCATCGGTCCACTTGATGCTAAAGGCACTTTCCAAGATCTGGGTTAGCAGCGGTAGTCCCTGGAGCTCATAGCGCAATTGTGACCTGATGTCAGTGTGCAAAAGTGACAGGACGAAGAGCAAACGCAAGTCAAAGCACTTAATGTCATTGATAAACTTTCGGTCCTTGCACTTTCTCAGGAGGTTACAGAGCTTTGCAGCAAGGTTAAGTTCCAGGCTGAGCTGCTGTGCCATCTGACTATTGAACACGATGTTACACAGACATTTTAATGACTCCACAATAACTGGGAACTCTGACACCTTCTCCAAAGAATCATCCAACTCATTCAGCTTCGCTAGTCGCAGCAGTATCTGCATATTTTCCTTGGTTGTTACAGGAACTAAAATCTTTTTGTCTCTGGAGAGAATGCGGAGAACTTCCAGGCAGGACACTTGACATGTTGTTGGGACGTCCTTTACAAGGACTTTAAATATCCCTTCGCAGAGTTTCTGGAAAACAAGATTGAGAATGCAAAAATCATTATTTGGCTTAAAACAGACTGTTTTTCTACCAATGTATTTAATAGCAGTTTAAGATCTAGCTAGAAAGGCTTTTATTATTTTTAAATTAAAAAATGTTAGAACTGAAAGAGACCTTATATTTGGTACACTTCTTTCACTTTACAGTTATAGAAATTGAGGACTAGAGAGGTTAAGTTGCTTATACTCAGCCAGAGTGAATTAGTGGGGTAGTAAGAGCTAGAGTATGGATTTCCAACTTCCAGCCAATATTCTTTCTATAAAATCACTTATTCTCTTTTAAGTTGACTAGTTTTAAATCTCTCAAATAGCTTTGTTCTCAATGGAGTTTTAATTCAGACTACATATAGGTAATATCAGCATGTAAGGCAATCAGTCTGAATCATAGCTGTTCCCTTCCCAAAAGTAAAGATTAATGCGTCGAGATTTGGTTCACAACTGCTCACAAGTACAGGTTCTCATAAAAGACTTTAAAAAATACGCATTTCTGCCAAATGTTAGCTGTGATATTTCTTCTAAATTTAGAGTTCTATGTCAGTAGTCCCATGTTTTATAAACCTTAGGACTTTCTTTAGCTAACATGTAATAACATTTAATCATTGAGTGACACCACAAAGAAGATCTTCTGCAGGCCAAACTACTAAAATTATTCTAAGTTTGGTTCCAAAGAGGTCTTGGCTAATATATATGATGCCTTTGAGCCAAACACAAAAAGGCACCTCTCTCCGGGCCAAATAACTGCAAAAGCGTGTCCCTACTGGATGGACAAACTTTTCAAAAAGCCCTCTTCCTCTGGTAGCCCTGTGTCAGCACAATAGCTTGGGAAGCTCAGAGTGTGGGAAGATCTTAGTTCTCCTTTGTTCTCTCAGTGCAGAGTACAGATTAAACACATATATGTAGTAGTCCTGGTTTCAAACCTTGCCACTATGTCAGAAACAATTCTTTTAAGATGAAACCAGAATATACCCTCTCTTGAATTTTTTAAAAAATCGTTATTTCTATCATTGGCAAATATAAGAACCACTGATCATTCTCTCAAAATTCAATATCCAGCTTTCTTCTCCATAAAGTGTAGTTCTGGGTCTCACAGGTATAACCACTTCTTCCCTATTTCTGTACCCGTTATATATACACATATATTTTGTTAATCCTCACCCAAGGATATTTTTTCATTGGCTTTTAGAGAGAGTGGAAGGGAGGGAGACACACAGAGAGAAACATCGATGTGAGAAAGACACATTGATTGGTTGCCTCCTGCAAGCCCCGAGTGGTGTGCAGAAAGAGCCTGTAACCCAGGTACATGCCCTTGACTGGAATCAAACCCATAACCCTCCAGTCTGCAGGCTGACTCTCTATCCACTGAGCCAAACCAGCTGGAACAGTATCCACTGCATTTTATAAAAAGAACAGCAATAACAACTATGACCAATATAAGATTTTACAAAGTTTTTATTAACCTATCATCAGACTTTAACTCTTTAAATAAAAAGGGCTCTATACAGGCCAAGCATTGTGATTTTGGCAGGAATCCCAGGCTATGTGCACCTTCTCAGTAGATCCTAGTCATACAGCTCAGCTATGGAAATGAAGCCATTTCCCCTGCTGCTCCTTCAGCATGGCATGCCCTGCCACCATGTCTGCCAGTCAGTACTCCACTCTTTCTCTAAGGCTTAGTTCAAGGTCTACAAGCCTCCCCCGCCATTTCCTCCTCTGCTTTCTTTCTGTTTGTGCCTGCAACAGCACTTAGTTTTTTTGCCTTTTTTTAGAATGAGCTGTTGAGGCTTCTTACTCCTTCTCCAGACCCCTTGAGAACAGAGGCTCTGTTTCGTCGTATCCCAGTGGCTAGTCCAGGTGTGCTAAAACTATTTTTAAGTGCAAGAAAACCACAAACTCCCCAAGTTACCTGCCTTGAAGTCTACCACCTGACTCTCCAGCACTTTCCAAAGAATGACTCCTTTGTATTCCTCCTTCACCAGCCACCACTCACTATCAAATCTTCCTTTGTTTGCAAGTACAGCAGATCATCATATTTTAGGTAAAAATATTTTTATTTACTTTCAAAGTATTCATTTCTGAATTTGTTTTCATTGTTCAACTGATATATTTTTTAATCTAAAAATTACTTTGGTATTGCAGATAATCATGAAACATATACTTTGTCCCATTAAAATCAATAAAAATATTTTGATATTAATAAATTTTCACTTAGAGGTCAGGTTTTCAGGAATTAAGTCATAAATCAAAGGTTAGGTGTGCTTACAAAGTATAATTAATAAAAAATCAAAGAGACTGAGAAGTATGCTCATTAACTTAGTAAGCCATGGCTATTTCTATAAAGTTAGAGTGCAAGACTGAGCAGCCTAGACTCAAGAATAAGGTACCAAATTGTTGGTGGACAACTATCAGTTTACATCACAATGCCTAATAATTAAACTAAGTCTTAGATAAATATATTTATGAGGCTTTATATTATTTTCTCATTACTCTGAAATCTGAGTTACTTTTACTACTTTGGTGATATAGTTGAAGAAAACTTATACAGGATAAAATGCATTCTCTAGAACAGTTCTTCTCAAACTATCTGTGACAAAGGACCATATTTTTGTTCCTTTTTTGTTGTTTATTTTCCCATAATTTGCAGAACAGTACTTTCGTAAAATACAATAAAAGTGAATCATTAAAATAAATAATCACATCTTTGGATATCACAGCAACATTAAGTTACTATAAAGCTTTGCTACTAGAGCACATAGAAACAGGTATATGAGTTGAAACCGGTATAACAAATTTAGAGTATGCATTTAGAAACCATTAGGACAAAATAAGTAAATGAACAACAAAAAAGAAACAAAAATGTGGTCCTTTGTCACAAATAGTTTGAGAAGCACTGGAGAATGCACTTTATCCTGTATAAATTTTCTTCAACTATATAACCAAAGTAGTAAAACTAACTCAGATCTCCGAATAATGAGAAAATAGTCTAAAGTCACATAAATATATTTATCTAAGACTTAGTTTATTTTTTAGGCATTGTGATGAAAACTGGTAGTTGTCCACCAAAATCCATTCTCTTCTTACATAGTAAGAGAACTGTGGCAAGGCCCTTGACTGCCTGGCTACACCACATTCCTCAGCTGTTCTCCATGGTGATGACTGAGTTCTTGCCAATAATATGTGTGTGGACACACTGTATGCCATTTTCAGGTTTGGGTTTTCAAGACAGTGGGTACATCTTCACTTTCCTGTCCCCTTTTGTAACCCAGAACTTGGAAATGGCAGCCCAATATAGGTTAGGACAATGCTCAGATGGTAAAGTATGACTTGACAATTTGGAAAGAACCTGGGCCACTGAATAAATTTATGGATAAGGAGGTGGAGGGATTCGATACGTAGTTTTGAAGAAAAATGAAAAGTACTTGCTACATGTTGGGGAGAGGGAGGTTTCTGGCTTAAGCAGTGTAGTGTCATTTATTGAGAAGGGGATGATGACTGGAGGAAGAACAGATTTTGGGGAAAATTCTGTATGAATACATTACATTTGTGATGCCTAGAGAGATGTCAAGTAGGAAGCAAAATGTATGTAGTTAGGGCCCTAAGCGACCATCAGCACTATGCCTGATGATATATATGAGTATAGGCATTTTGAGCTATAAGGATGGATGAGGTTACCTAGAGAAAAATATACAGAAAAAAATCAGGACCAAGAGCCCAGAAAAAATGCTAACACTTAGAGGCTGGAGGAAGAGGAGCTGGTAAAGAAGATTAAGAGGTATAAGCTAGAAAAGCAAGAGGAAATCTAGGAGTGTGATATTTTGGAAGATAAGACAATGTAGCAGGATACAAAAAACGCCAAGAAATCTATGGCATTTTATACACCAATAGTGAACTTACAGAAAGAGAGATTTAAAAAACAATCCCATTTACCATCGCACCAAAAAAAAATTAAGACACCTAGGAATAAACTTAACTAAGGAGGTAAAAGACCTGTACTTGGAAAACTATAGGACACTGGAAAAAGAGATAGAAGAAGACATAAACAGATGGAAGAACATACCATGTTCATGGATTCAACATCATTAAAATGTCCATACCACCCAAGCAATCTATAGATTCAATGCACTCCCCATTAAAATACCAATGGCATACTTCAAAGACCTAGAACAAAATCTCCAAAAATTCATCTGGAT